CGTTGTTTGCATGTTCATGCGTTTGAAATTGTGAAAGCCGTCAACAGCGCCAGAAACACCGTCAGTCGGTGTGAAAATAAGAAAGCTAGACCAGTTAACATTTAACTTGTTTTGTTGCTACAATGAATAAACTTTCATTTTCTTTTCCTTTGGCGTTCAATCTTTGGTTTACTTTTATTGTACTTTTCCATTTATTGTCATTTATTCTGTCTTTTTCTATTTATTTAAATTTATTTTTCTTCTACTAAATTAATCATGATACCAAGCAAACTTATTTCTAGTGCAGATAAAATCTGCATGACAATTGATCCAATTTAAATTTTTTATGAACGAAGTTTGACTTTGTTACTGCCTTCTATCAAAAAAACTGATCATTTTTGTATTAATCATTCAATATTTAAAATGGTCACTTGTATATTTTTTTGCTAACCATTGCATCCATTTTACTGATGACAAATCGCATTCCGGAAATTTTACCATTGCTCTGTTTGCTCTCTCATTCGTAGTTCCTATAGCTGAACGATACTCATGCAAAAACAAATGAATGTCAATCACAATATACACGAACTACGGGCCAGATTATTTTCAAAAAGTATGTTCCTTTTTGGTTGGAAATTTTATCTTGTGTTTTGATTGTTGGCTCATTCGTTCTTCACATAGCTTTACCGTACTAATACACAAAAAAATGTGCATATCAATACGTGCAAAATAATCGTAAGGATATTGTCAAAGCATACCTTGTTTATTTCCCTTGAAAGTTTTATCTTTGTTTTGCTTTTTCTCTCATTCTTCCTTCGTACAGCTATGCAATACTAATAGAAAAAGGAAATATGCATCATAATATACGCAGAATAATTATGAGGATATTGTCACAACATACCTTGTTTTTCTCGTTGGAAATTTTACCTTTAATTTATTGATTAGTTTGAGTCATCCTCATATGTATTTATTTATTTTTTTTTGTGTATCTTTATTTAAAAATTAAAATGAAATAAAAACAATTGATTTCAATTTATTATAATATTTAAATGATAATTATTTCAATAAAACAATGATGTGACGTTTCGACAATTGACGTTGTATAGACTTTCTACTTAAATTTCTTTCTCTTTTTTTTTTATATTAATCATATGATAGTCGAACGGCAAGACGGTGGAAGTGACTGGAGATATGCACTACTTGTCTTCCTCCTCCATCCCATTATCACTATCTTCATTCTAATGATGGATAAATTTCTTCTCCCTTCCGTTTTTGTGGCTCTTTTTTATTATTGTAGGTCCTGCATATAGTTGAAGGAGCCATGCTGCACTAATTTTATCGTGATGATTTATTGGCTTGTTAGTGGTGGAATAAATTGATTCTTTGATTTATCGTTTTTCCAAAACAATCTCATTGTTAATGACAAAACGCTCTATCCAAATCGAATGTGCATTGATATCTATTATCTTGATGGTGTTGTACGATTTCCGAATTAGATTTAACTCCGTTGTTTAGAATTATTCGTTTGTGCTCTTATATTCGTTTATTCAAATCAAGTCGTTTACTCCGTTATAAATTCCTCCACACTCACAAGTTACCTGATCAATGTTCGATCTGGATTTTCGTTCAACTAAGTTCATGACTGCTGCTTGATGCTTATTATGGTAAGAGAGAAATACTTTAATTTTTAATTATTCTACTTAGAGCATACCAAAAATAGTGATATCATTGTCTTATTTTCATATAGAAAGCTTGAAGAAATTTTCTTTTTTTTTTTATGTAATGATAGAGAAAGTGATGCTCTATTTTTCTATTCTATTTGATCATACTTCAACTAATATCCTAATAATAAAATTTCGATAAGACCTGTTTTTCTCTCAAATGTGCCGGTATTACTAAAGTCTATTTAGTGGATATTTTTTGAATAACTTTTGATAGAAAAAAGGCAGAGAGCTGCGATATTTATCTTTCGAAAGAGGAGATGAAGATGCGTCAAACCACATATTACATTCATTCCTAACATGTTCTCTGAAGTTTGTTTAATCAATTTTCTAAGTGTAGAAAAATAGTTTCTTATCAAAAAGAAAATAGTAAAAATAAAGTTGTTGTGTACAGAAATTGCCAGAAAAATCGCTTATAGCTGCGACTAGTATGCCTACAACTCCTGAATGATCAATTCTAAACATCTGAGTCCTGTGCAAGTTTTTAGACCTCCCATTAGCGGCTTGAACACACACGTAACAATTAACTATTCACTATAAACACCTTACGGGGTAGATTTTCTTTCAAATAAGTCTATTGAAAAACTTAAACAATTCATGTCAAAAAAAATCTGTAATATACGATTTGATGCATCTTTATCTCTTCTTTCGAACGATGAAAATCACAGCTCTCGAGCTATTTTCGTTCTTGAGTTATTGCAAAAATGCCCACGGCCATTATTCTTTTAAACAGGCTCAAGTTTTACACAAAAACAGTTCTTATCGAAATTTTATTATTAGGATATTAGTTGAAGTATGATCAAATAGCATAGAAAAATAGAGCATCGTTTTTTCTATACCTACATAAACAAAAGAAAATTTCTTCAAGCTTCCTATACGAAAATAAGATAATGGCGCAACTACTTTTGGTATGACCTAAGTAATTTTCGTTTTAGTACTCCTATGCCATGTACAAAAAATAATTGTAATTTATTATTTCATTTCATTTTTTTTTTCATTTTCTTTTTCCTAACCATTTTCATTTGTTGTAGTTTTAATGGATTTCATGTTTTCTTTAACATAAATATCAATGGTATGTGTTGGGTAGTCCGACTTTATAAGAATTGATTCAAGTTTATTTAAATCATCCTGCTCGTTATTACTATTATTGGTTGTCTCAATTATTTCGGAATCCATGTTTTTAAATCAAACAAATTTTAATAGATTGTCCATGATCTGAATAGTAGTTTAATGAGCTATCGGATGATGTGTATTTTCTATACTCTCCGATGCTAATTGTATCATCATTGTTTTTTTACAATGTCGTCTCAAGAAAGTTAATGGCATTATCTCTTTCATAGTCATCAGTGAATCTAATTTTACTTTTAATTGTATTAAGATCTTCAACATATGATTCAGCTTCTCCTTCATTTATTTTGATTATTTTAAGAATGTCATCGACATACCCTCTTGATTTAAAAGGTAAATTAACTTTCTTAAAATTCTTTCTTCTGTATTCAATCATATCAATATCAGCTAGAATGGGTGATAAAGTGTTACCCATGAGTCAATTTTGTTTTTTTCTGTAATATGTCTCATTAAACTGGCAATAATTATTATTTAATCATAATAGTAATATTTCTTTCAGGTCTCTTTTAGTCAAATTAGATGCACAGAAATTTTTGGAATTACCTATTGTATTTAGAACTATATCGATAGTTCTCGTTATAGGTATATTTGTAAATAAATTTTGCACATCTAAACTCTATAAAATGTTCATATTGATTTATTTTAATTTTAGATGTTTCATGGATGAATTTGACGATGGTACATATTGAATTTTGGATTGTCTCTTTTAACTGTTGAATGAATGAGAATGCATATCTGGATACAGGTGGCAGAATTGCATTTCTTGTGCTTGAAATTAATCGCATTGGACAATCTTATTTAAGTACTTAAGTTTGTTCTCTCATTCTTTGAAGATCGTCAACTAATGAAATTTCATGTCTCATGTTTCGAGTAATTTGATTCGATTTAGATAATCTATTGTTAAGTGTTTTTATTTTAGCCAAGATCATGTTTGTTGGATGTTTTGCATCATCATAAACATCATTGTCGTTTACTTTTTCTTCGAACTTGTTTATATATTCTTATGCGTTCATTACTATTTCATTTTCTCTTATATCTTCCCCATGGCGTAAAAAAATTAAGGAAAAGCACTGCGTAACGTGTTTATGAGATTGAAGCATGCGTTTCGCAACGTTTTTTTAATACAAGACGCATTTCGCAGTATTCTAACTTAGATAGAATGCGTTTTGCTTCTGTCTTTTTCTGAAACGATCTGAAACGCGATTTTTCAACATTGCGCTTCGAAGCGTTTCCGAAGTAAAATGCTGTCGGACGCACTTAAGTCGACAGGCAACGCGTTCCAGAGACAAATTCGGGGAAACGTGAAACGCGTTTGTATTGTTTTTGCTTGAAATGATGCAAAATGTATCCATTGTGCATACAGAATCCGGCAGGAATTTATTTATACAAAGCATACGAGTTGTGCAAAGTTAACTCTGACATTATTTTAGAAATGACATGGAATAGAATTTGAAAACTTTGCTCTTTGCACCGCTTTTGAACATGAAAATCATGACCCAAATTTTCCAAACGCAAGATTAAAAGCGAATTCTTCTAAACCTTTAGGCTGATAGGCTGTCATATAAATTTGATTGGTAGTGAGACTAATGTATAACATCAAACTATAACAAAAATGTGTTCTTGTTCCTTGAAAACATATTTCAATACGTTTTTATTGAAAGAAAATGCGTTTCGTAACCATCAACCAAGAATTGTTTCAAATATTAAAGAATTAAAAATGATTTAGTAAAGACTGATGCTAATATAATGAGAACGACAATTGTGTTTGGTTATTTGTGAATAAAAGAATTCTCAGGTTATTTATGATTTGAATAATTATTAGTATGAATTCATATGTGAACTACCTGATAGTGACTGATGATACTGTATACAATACTATTAAATATGATTTTAGTTCGTACACTGTTAATGTAAGCATGAATTTTAAATGAAATAGATTCGGTTTGCAAAAGAAAAGTCTTCATTTAGTGATGTTATTGAATAAAAGGATGACGAATTTACATATAAAAAAATCTATTAAATAAAGAAAACAGTTGAAAAATTTTATTTTAAATTTTTTAAATTTATATCCAACAGATTCAACTTGTTTAAATATTAAATACAATTTAAATGAACTAAGATCGTTACAATTGTGTATTTGAATTTAAATTTGAAAGAGTTTAAATAAAAGGTATGTTAAGAGGAGATCAAACTCGTCATTTGGTATAAGCATCAGGGAAATGACAATTTTTAATTGATTGCAATGAGAAACTGAGAATTTAATTTAGTAAGTTTATACGAGACTATGAATGGCTGTAGAATAAACACTTATATCATTAGATTATTTTAGTTGAACGGTTTGTACACATATCTTCTACTCTTATGTTCTCGTGTTCGAATCCATATGTTGACTTTATTCAAATTTATCTGAATTATAGCTCCAAAGATCTATGAAAAAATGTAAACGAATACATAAATTGTGTCTGAAACTCAAATTGCATGAAATACTTGACGGTTTTCATTTTTTTTCATCTAGGATATACGACACCGCCGTTAGAGATACGCTACGAAACTTTTTTTAGAAAAATGATCATTCCACAGCGTTTGTGTTAGCAGATGTGAAACGCGTTAAACCGGTCAGCATTAACGCGTTTCGCGACTATAGGAAAACGCGTTTTTTTCGCAGAAATTTACACTATGGGTCAGGCATTAGGGTGTGGATGTGAGTGTGAGTGTTGCTGTGGGATGTCGGTGTGAGGGTGCAGGGTGCGGATGGGGGTGGAGGTGGATGTAGATGAAAGACTATCACCCACACCCACACCCACACCCTAATTCTTTTAGTTTTGCTACAATTATTTCTAACATCAAAAACTATGTTCCCTAGTTAAAATCAATCACTATTATATATGCGAAAAATTTACAAATAAAACGTGTCCTAAACAACTAAATCTTTACGACCATATATATGGATCATGATTAATAAATTTAGTACAATAATCATTAAGTAAATTTCCTGATCTGATTAAAGCATTTAATTCTTTTAAACATATTTTTGGTATTTGAAAATATACAAAAAGAATAATTGTTTTTTTTCATCATTAGGTTTCGATAAGAAAAATCAAACTATTGGTTATAGTTCGTTTCTATTCATTCCAGTTTTAAGATATTCTAATCGTGGAAATAAATTCACAACCAATTAAATTTCATTTAATGACCATCAGACACGAAAATCAAGAATTTTTGCTTTATATCTATTTGATACGTATGGAAAAACTTCATTTTGTTTAATTACATTTAAATTAATGTTGCTGAGTGCTAAATAATCCAATTTCAATGCATATAAATTAGGTGTAAAAGATAACAATTAAATAATTTTGGCGAATGAAAATTTCTAGCATTCAATAACTAACTTTGTAAGTTATTTTAAAGGAATCAAGTGGCGAAGATGTTTTGGAATTGAATCATTTGATGTTTCAAAATGATGTTTAATAGTTAATTGATTAACATTTGGAAAATAAATTAGATAATTATCTTTTATTTCTTCATTACAAATATAAAGATGTTTAACTAAATGATATTTTTCTTTTTTTATTTGTGAACAAATTGGTTCATTTGATTCCCAATAATACACATAATCTTTTCGTCTAAAATAGAATAAGAATAATTTCCTATATGTAATGATACTTATCGCAGTGAATAATGTCATAGCAGAAACAGCTGACAACCTGACCCTTTCATCAAACAAGAGAGAAGGCTCAGGACCGTAAAAAAACTATATTCTGAAACTAATAGGATATTAGTAAAATCTTCGATTTGAATCAATAGACTCGCACTGCATATGAATTATTCATCATCCTAAACTCAGCAAAAAAAAAAGTCTTTTTAGTTCCACGATCAATCTTCATGCTATGACCAAGACACTATTGGCGCAAGAATTATCTAAAACTGGTCACGGATATATGATTTTTTCGTCGGGGTGTATGTGTGGGTGTGGAGCATAGAATAAAACGTCCACACCCCACACCCACATCCATCCACATCCTGCTTAGAACAAGTATTTTCTTTGCCGTAAAAACACAAGATATCATTCCGAGTTGAAGTTGCGATTTTTATTTTATATTACAGCCTCGATCTGTATACACCATATGCGTATTCCCAGCGTATTTTGTTTTTCTTTCGTTCTACAGAATAGTCGATCATCAAGGCTTCTATTCGTAACCCTTGTTATCTTGGCCTTGCAAAAGCAAATATAAATATCGTAAGACCATCGCTATAAGAAGAATAAAACATTCTTTCAATCACTATTCCATTTATCGAAAGTAAATTATGGCTTCCTTTCTGCATGTTTGCGTCCTGTTACTGTTGATGATCACCGTTAAAGGACAAAGTAAAGAATTTTTGAATATCGAATATTATGAATAAAGTTTTATTTTACTGAGCAGTGCCGGTGTGTGGCATGAACGAAAAGTATGAGAGTTGTGGCTCGGCCTGTACCGAAACCTGTGACCACAGACCCGAAGTCTGTATTATGGTATGCAGAAGTGGCTGCTTCTGTGAGAAGGGATACGTTCGTCTGTCTAGCACACGTGGAAGTCCTTGCATTAAACGAGAAACCTGCAAAAGAAAGGATGATACCCATCTCTGTGGCGCGTACGAAGAATTCAACACCTGTGGTTCAGCGTGTGTTGAAACTTGTGACTACAAGCCTCAGATCTGCACAGAGCAGTGTGTCGCCGGCTGTTTCTGCAGCGATCCAAAGTTTGTTCGACAGAACAACAGCACTGGCAGCCCATGCATCAGACGTGAGCGATGTCCCAAATAGAGTACGATAATTTCTTGAAAAAGCCATATTCAACTTTTGTGGAAGTTTTATTTGAAGAAAATAAACAAAGCTATTGTCAAAATCTAAAATGCGTTACTATTTCAGCCATTTCAGTCTAAAGTTTAGACGTCGTTTATCTGTGAAACAAAGACGCTAAGGTTCTGTCGAGAACGACCAGAAGATGTACAGGGTGTGGATGTGGACGTGGGTGGGAGTAGGGGTGTGAGTGTGGGTGTGACTGGACGAGGATCAACATCGACACCCACACACATCTCATCCAACATCCTCTCTGGTCTTTTATCATTTTATTTGTAGACAGACTCGAATGAAATATGCGTATGAAAGAAAGTAATATCTGTTTCGTTGTAAAATTCGCTCTCACTGCTTTCTCATTTGAGAAGTTTTATAACAGTGGTCTCGGTGATTCGATGGTTTAATATGATCCATTTCACAAGTGCCTCTTCGAAGAGCAAAATACATGTTTCAGTATCTATTTCCGTGTTTGTCCAAGTGTGAAGTGGTACTTTGTTGCCAAGTACATTGACTACACCAGTCATCTCGATGTCTAACATGATCACTTCAGCGTGATATTCTTCATTTTCATAGATACAAGTTACAGTTCTGTATTCCACAATATTGTTCAGTGGCATAAGCGTCACGCTATCACCGACAGAGAAATCTTGGAGTGGCAGCTTGCTTACTCTTTTGTTTAAAGTCTTCCTGTGTTGTTGAAGAAAGGAGCCGACGCTGTGTTCGTTCATTGGGCGGAGTCAATTATGCACGTGTATAAATCTTTTCAATTCAGCGCTGATGTTATGCACTACATCTTCGATTTCGACCACACGTATTATGTATATTGTTTCGTACTGTTTTAACTTCCTGCGCCCTAGTCAAAATGTTGACAGTTTCCATTATTTTATTTTTGACATAAGTGAATATGTCGCCCAGCCNCTTTAGCTTTCGTCTTTTTTCAAATATATCTAAAACTGTTTTTGAGCCTAGTCACATATGGTTTTGTAGAGAATTTTAAGCGCTTTCTTTTGATAATTAAGACAGCTTTACTTACAGTGATAATAGACAGGAAATCTTAAAAATACTGGGAGGCTCATTATTCCTGGGACACCCGATATATTTTAATTCAATTTTTGTTTAATATTGAACTTTAATTTATTGTTTAGTTTGAAAAATGGACTGATGATCAACGTCGTATTGTTCTTGAAGATTTACTGGCTCAATGTCGTCCTCGTCAATTAGCATATGCAAGAAATTTATTAACAAAAAAATTTCCTGCTCAACATCAAGATTTTACTCGTTTATTTCCACGTGTTCTTGGTCTTTATATATTCTCATTTCTTGATCCACGTAGTCTTTGTCGTTGTGCACAAGTAAAGTTTCTTTTTTTTTTTTTTTTTATTTATTGAACTTTATTTTTTTTGTCTAAAAGGTATGTTGGTATTGGAAATTTTTATCTGAATCAGATCAAATCTGGATGCCAAAATGTCTTCGTTTCGGTTGGACACCAAAACAAAGTGCATCACCATATGAAAGTAATGTTTGGAAACGTGTTTATTCATTTAATATTCAAGCATTACAAACAATGCCTATTCGAGTATGAAAAAAGAAATGTTTATTTTTCTTTTCAAAAATCTATTTCAATATATATAAAAAAAAATAGATGAATACATTAATACCATTATCGACTTCTGATATTGATTTAAAAAAACTTATATCATCTAATGAGAATATATCAATGATTGATACATATGTACAAACAATATGTACAGGAGATTTGGTTCGACGACAATTTGTAATTAAATATATAGAAGTTATTCATATATGTTACTAGTTTATTTTGCTGATTATTTCAAATTTTTTTTATTATTATTTTTGTGAAATATCGAATGTAATTAGCGTTCTCTAAAAAGAGAAATTTGATCGTTTCTTTTTACTTAAGGGTACCGCCAGTCTTATATTATATTCATAGCAATGATCTTGCAAAAAAAAAAGAATCTTTGATTTTGTTTTTTTTTTCAGTCGATATATCTCTGCTTTAGGTAAAAGAATAGAGATTTCTTCATTTGTGAAGATAAGAATAATAACTAAAATAAAAAAAAAATGTCGTGTCTATTTACATAGATCACGTGAATGGTAATGAAAAGTTATCATTTTAGATTTTCACATAGGAAAAACATGAGTTCGAATATTTTTAGATTTATTTTTACTTTATTAATATTGACCTGTAGCCATGATATGAAGTTAAATGTTATCAAAAAGTTAGAGAAAATTTTAATATTTTCTTATGTCGAAGAAAAAAACTTAATAAAATTTTCTTATTTGAGACAGAACAAAACTCAATCATATGTTACATATTTATTGAGCAAGGATTCTATTCAAAGATTTAAATTTATAAAAAACATAATTTTAAAATCTTTTCATTGGTAGGAATATTCTCATCGTTCACAAAGTGGTTATTATGATGATCAATTATCACCTCATGAAGATACTGCTCGTTCACATTCCACTCGTCATCAACATAATCAATCTCATTTATCATCATCAACTCATCGTCGTTTAGAACAACCACCATGGCGTACTAATAGGTTAAGAAAAAAAAAAAGAATCTTTAAAATTAATCTTTAACTTTTTTGCTGTTTTTATTCTAGTCGAAATCCAAGTGATACACTACGTTATAATTATTTGGATAATGATGATAGTGTACTTGAATCTTTGATTGCTAAACATCGTAAATATGGAACAAGTATTCTTCAACAAACCGAATCTGATTATGAATTAAAAAGTACAAGTAAAGAACGACAAACACGTAGTCGAACTAATGAAAGATATGAACATGATGGAAGAAAAAGACGAAGTCAATCTTTGGTATGATTAATATTTAAATTTTTCTAAAATTATTTCTGTCTTTGTATATTTAAATAAAAGAGTGCTCGTGGCAGTCCATCAGTTAGTTTTCGTGATGAACATACATCAAGAAATTCTAATCATCATAATTCATTTTTTGCTCGACCTCCATCAACATCAGGTATTGTTAATCGACCTGTAGACATTCCTCGACCACCATCATCGGCTTCGAAATTAAAACAAACATCAAAAACATCAACTCACGGTAAAACAATCACAAATATATATTTCGATTTTTTTTTGATTAAATTTATTTGTTTTTTCTAGACATGGCAAATCGAACATGGCATTCAACAAATAATTATAATTATGTTGAAGAATAAATTTTATGTAATAATTTTAAGTGTTCTCATTTTGGCAATATCATTCAAAAAACAAACAAACAAACATGTGTGTATTTCTCATTGTTGCCATTTGCTTCTTTTGATTTTTTTCAAAGAAAAAAAACATTTCTATATGTTTCATTGTTGTTTGTTAATTTGTGTAGTAGACATTTTTCTCATTGTTTAATGTATTTCTAATATGTTTTGTCAGTGAGAATGAGTAATTGTGCTTATTTCAATGAATGATTGATTGAATCTAGATATCAACACACACACACATATACACAAATTGTGTTTTGACTTATAAATCATTTCAATAATAATCTTTATCTTTGTAGTTTGTTCTTTAAATCTTAAAACATTTTCGTGCATTGTATGCCTTAGAAATATATATGTAAGAATTTCATATGAAAATTCAATGCTTTTATTCAATTATTAATGAATAGGAAGGCATGACATCTAATGGGATGTTATTTATGACTGTTTCGATAGAAAAATGAGTGACATGAATCATTTGAAAACGTGCTATTACACGTGAGTGTCACATGTCTCAGTATAAAGTCTTTTGATAGAAGTAAACGAATTTATTTAAAACAATATATCATCGAATACTGATGTTCAAATTGATGAACCACCACGCTATGATAACAAATCGTACTGTTGAAGGTGTTCCCATGAAAGCCAATGAAGTGGCTGAAAAGTGTACATAGCAAAATTGTGGTCATGATGCTGTTAGGGGGGGGATGGTACACAAGTAACAAACAATGACGATTATAATAATCGAAAATAGATTCGGCATCTTTATTTTATTGTAATAGAATAGAACGATTAATAAAGATCAAAGAATATTTCAGCTTGTTAAAAATTATCAAGTATTTTGTCATTAATAGGATTTATAAGTGGTGTAACTTCAATAAATTTTAAAGAATGATTTGTATAATCAGTTAAATTCGATGGAATATAGAAAGCAGATATAGATTGTTGTTCAAGTTGTTCAAATGAATATAAATAATGTTGAAACCATGGATGATAACGAATATCTAATGAGTTATTTATTGTACAACCCAATCTTTGAAGTGGATTACGTATTAATAAACTTTGAACAAAATTTGTCGATATTGTTGTAAATATTGTAGCTTGAAAATAAATAGAATTATGAAGTATAGCTTCAAATAATTCTTCATCATTTTCACCATCAAATGGAGTTTCACCAGTTAGTAATTCATAAGTTAGAATACCTAATGCCCAATAATCAACACATTTATCATATCTATTAGTAATAAAAAAAAATGTATAATTTTTATTAAAAAAAAATTACTTTTCTTGTAGAATTATTTCTGGACTCATATATTGTGGTGTACCACACATAGTTGATGTTGGTTTAGTTGTTCGTTTAGCAAAACCAAAATCAATTAATTTTATATATCCTCGATCTGTTAAGATAATGTTTTCTGGCTTAAGAAATTGAAAAAACAAAGAATTTTATTAAATGATATTATATATCATGTTTACTTTAAGATCTCGATAAATAACATGACAATCATGTAGATATTCGAATGCTAAGATTATTTGTCCAATATAGAACCTCGTATGATCTTCATTAAGTCGTTCGTGTATTTTCATATAAGAAAAAAGATCTCCTGAAATTATCAACTTATTACTTTTCGTGACACATAGGCTAAGATAAATGTGGAAGGATGAGAGTAGAATTTCTATTTAAGAGTCATTCCGTGTAAGCCACAATCAACTCCTATAGAAGCTGCTCAATTGATAGTCGCCAATTTGACTAGTTTTTGTATATGTTATACAGACAAGATTTTGATGAATTTCAACGCAAACTGTTCAAAAAAAATATAATTTCGTTCTCAAGATATTTACATATTTTTGTACAGGGTATTATATAGTCCTAAACGAATCAACTTGAGATGTCGTAAAATAGCCCGTGGAATTTTATAAAAAAATGAGTCCCATAAAAACTCCCTTTTCATGCGTAACGTATACAAGTTGTTCAAATATTAACAGAAAAGCTTCTACATCTGAAACAATGTCTTATCCAACGTATATTTAGACACATGATATTCTATTAACTGGCATATATAACTTCTTTGAAAATGACAATTTTTTTGTTGAATTCTTCTTACTCTTCTTCCATGGTTTGAGGGTAAAAAAAACTTTGTGTCATTTTGAAAGAAGTTATACATGAGATTAATAGAGAATATCTGAATGATTTGTTTATATTAAGCATGAAAAAGAAGCCATTATGGAGTTCTTTTTTAATAAGACTCTGCAGATTATTCTACAACGTCGTAGGTTGATTCGTTCAGAACTATATAATTACTCAGTGTGTAGTTTAAAACCCGTACGACTTCAACTTCTATAGACCAGATTTTTTTCTACATCGCTCACTTTGAAAATCATGATGTTGAGCACAATCACGATTTCAACGAAGATTTCCTGAGTGTCAAGACCTATGTAGAAAGTTAAGATTTTTAAGAGAACAAACACTTAACGAGATCTCTCTCTCTCTCTGATTGAAATTTCAACTTCTCAGATGTATTTACACTAAAAATTTGAAGTTTAAGAGATTTATTCATTATGAGATATAGCTGTCAGAGAAAGTCATAAAAAATGTGCATTTTTTAGCGATAGTAACCTCAGAAAAGTTTGAATATCTCGATAATTAAATAATATTTTTTTGAACGATTTGCATAAAAATTCATCAAACATTTGTTTCTATAACATATATAAAAACTAGTCGAATTTGTGACCATCAATTGAGTACAATCGGTATTGACTTACGTGGAATGACTCATTACTTTTTTCTTTTTTGGGTAGAGTGACAATCCTACCCTTTTTGACATTTTAATCCTTTAGGAATTGTACTAACAGTTTGTTTTTTCAATGATAATAAAAAGCTTTACCTCCAGCAATAAATTCAAGAACTAAATAAATATTTGATTCATCTTTGAATGAAGTGAATACTAAATAAATAAACGAATGCAAAAGTTTTGAATTTCAGTAAGGGAAATTCTTCTAACAAACATTTAACAAGATTCGGATGATGACAACATTGTAATATATCTCTTTCTCTTAAAGCAAATATATGTGCTTTCTTTTTCATTAATTGTTGTTTACTTGCAATTTTTAATACACAAAGAAAATTTTCATGAATATTATTTTCATTGTAATACCTTCAAATCTTGATCGATCAAGATAAGAAATAAATTTATAATTAAGAGAGAGTTATTTTACCATTTGACTAAATAAACAAAACCAAATGCACCTTTACCCAATTTTTTAATAGCTTTGAAATTATTTGTTGAGATATTTGGATTACTCTTTTGTTTTCGTGACCAACAATGATCAAAATTCGGATGATAGTTATTCATCATTCAAGTTATGTTTTTCAATTAATTAAATATCTCTTATTTATAAATTATTATTATTATATAATCTAAATAATCTATTAAATAAAACGAAATAAGATAATAATTACTAACAAAAGACAAAAACAAAAATTCTTAATTTTAACAAATAAGCGCGCCATAGATTTTTCGATTAGTATAGATCACTGCTTCTTGCATTGGTTTTGATTTCGTTACTGAAATGAATTACCAATTGATTGTACAATACAATAGAAAGAAGAAATATTCTAGTCGATGTTACGATTATTATTTCTATTATTGGTAATAATAAAACAAAATAAATTGATGAAAAAAATTTATTTAAAGGCGAAAAAAGTTTCTAAACATGATAGCACAATTTCTTTTATAAGAAAAAAAAAATTTTGTTCTCTTGGATAATCAAATATTCTTTGCTATCTATGTAAAATCTCTAAGAACAAACGACATTAGTTGGAGTAACTACAAGGTTCGCTTGACCATTTTGAGTCGACATTGAACAATTAAGAGCAACAGAATGCAAAGTAGAATGAAATACAACTACTGGTACTATTTCAGAAGCTACACCTTGAAGAGTAATAGTTGCTTGAGTTTTTTCTTTATTTGTAGTTATGGACATAATTCTTTGTTGACTAACGGCTGTCCATTTACCCCATTCACCAAGAAAAGCATATTTCGTTCGAACTGGATCATTAAATTGCCATAATGGTGAGACATACCAAAGACATATTGTTACATCATTACATTTACTAGCTGAAACTTCAAGAGGATGCGTATCATCAAAAGTTGATGTTATTTGTGCATTATCATATGACCAAATAATTCCTGATTCACTTCCAATCATAGAAGGATAAATTGTATAATCTCGTTTCATAGCTGATGCAAAGATAATATGAAATGTTCGATCATTTCTAAAAAGAAATCAATTCAAGGATAATGAAGAATCAATACAAAAAAAAACACAAATTAACTTACACAGTTGTTTGTGTTGAATAAAGTTCTCCTTGTATAACACCATTATAAAAAGCCCAATCAGCAACTAATGTATTGATTGTTGTTAGTGGTCGATCAGGTTTTAAAATTAAACCATCTTGACGACAACATTTCATAATACTTTGTACATTTGCATAATCAATTCCATCACCGGGACCAACAGGTCCTGTTGAAAGAGTAGCCATAAGTATTTCTCGATCTGGAAGTATTTCTTTCGACAATGTTCCGTAAGGAGAACCAGGTTGTAATGATGTAGACCAAAGAACATCTTTGAATGGTGCTAAACCAATAGCATCAGCAAGCATACTTGATATTCCAATATTCCATTGAGAACGTGTTGAATCTCTTAAATGAACAGCATAATCATCTGATACTCGTGCATGTGTAACACGTGGAATTTGAAGAGCTTGTAAAATATGACGAGGTAAACTCATACAATATTGAATATTCATTCCGATTTGTTCAGCAGCTTCACCCATTGACATTAACCATTGTTCTCCGAGATTAATATCAGTACGTGTTGGAAGAAAATCAATTGTTTGAACATTAAGCCAATCTTGTTCATACAAAACAAGACCCCAATTACGTGCTTCAACAAATAAATCAATCCAAAATGAATCATTTCCAATGGGTAATGCTTTTCCATTAGCAACATCAAGAACGAAAGCATATTTTTGTTTATAAACTGTATCATATGCCCAAAATCGATTATGTGCTGCTAATGGAATATTTTCTAATCGACGATGTAATATTGCAAGACCATCAGGAAATATATCTGGACGAGCTGTCCATTGAGAAACACCATTTCCAATACCTTTATAATACCACCATGAATCAAGTTGAATATAATGAAATGGAAGTGGAATTCTATGTGCTACATTAACCATTGTTTCTTCATAATTCATTCCTTGTTCTGTATTATAATAATAATAACCACCATTATCAGTATAATAGCCAAGATAATTTATTGTAAGATCATTAAGACGATTTACATTTGTTCGATTAAATGCTTGTTGCATTGTTTGACCCCATTGACGTATTCCTTCATTAATTCCATTTTGTGAATAGAAAACAATCATTGAATGCATATAATTAGCAGGTATTGATGACATTGAACCAATGACACCATATTCTAATGCACTATCTGATATTTTATTTCTTTGAGTCAATGAAGTAGCCATAAAATGAGAAAATGGTGAAACAACTAATATATCTTCTTCTCCTCGTTGAGTTAAATTAAAAAGAACGACTGGACCACCTTGCAAACCTGATCTAATGACTTTATTTGATGCATTCCAATTACCTGCATATTTACCACTTTCACCTGACATCACTCCTAAGCAAAATTAGCATTCAAATATAGTAATAATAATAGAAAATAATAAAGAAAAAAAGAAACTTAGATCTTACCTTCAAATGTAAAAAATCCTCTTTGATCATTCATACCGATCTTTTCAATATAAAACGATGGAAATACAGTACGAATTTGTTCCATATCAAGTGGTATTCTATCTATTAAAACTTTATCACCCGTCTCCAAATGAAAAGTAAAAGCTGAAATAATATTCCATTGACGTATATGAGCAACAATTGAAGTAGATGTTTGATTACTAACAATATTATACGTCAATATTGTTTCATTCCAACTACCCAAATTTGGATCATCACCTTGTGCGACAGTTACATTGATCAAAGCAAGAGAATTATCTTCTGTTGAATACCATCGAGCATCAGTATATATAGCTATACGCGATGAACGAAGCCATACTTGATTATTAACAGTAATATTGTATCCTCCACTTTGATCGATTAATACTCGTACATCACACCAACACCCAACTATGACAACAAGAAACACCACAAGACGCATCTTTAACAAATAATTTGACTAAGGTAAGAGATAACTGTAGTTTATATGCGGCTGTATGAGTTACAATGATAAAAAAGCTATTTTCATTGGTAGAATATAGATGTTAAAGAACATATGTGTGTACTTTGATATATTTCTGCACACGTCACTTAAACGTAGATATGAAATTCGATTAAAATGTTGTTTCTAAAAGACTTTAAAGTTATATGACAATGATGAATCTTTTTAAAAGAAATTACTCATAATCATGAAATTCTCTTGTTACTTTCAAATGGATTAGTCATGTTTTATGTTCACATAGATTTTTCTTTGTAATCACAAAATTCTATCTATTTGTTTTCTTAAATTGAAGCAGTATCACGACTAAATATTGTTTTTCTTATCACTTACTATGTTTATTTAACATCTGCACACCTTTGCATGTTATTTTCTCTGTACGAAACCTTTTGTATCGATTTGAGATTGTAATGATCGAAAGTAGAAATCGATATTACATGTGATTCTATGAAGCATTGTATTTGAATAAATATTATTCAAAAAAAAAACGACGCAAGAAAAGTACTGTCATGAGGAAAATATCGACGATAGAAAAAAAAAGTTTAAAATCTTATTTGATTAATAAAAGATGTGCAAGTCTAATTCGAATCGTAACTAATAGACGAAAAAAATAGGCCTAGTATTTAATAATTTGAAAAATATAATTTTTTTTTTTTTACTGATGAAGAATATTAGAAAAATTTTCTCTTCTATATATCATTGGGAGTAAAGATATCAGTGTTTTTTTTTAAACTTAATTGACTGAATATAAATATAGAACTCATGAAAATAAATCCATCTTCTCTCATGACTACATGTAGACTTTTTATAAATGAAAATTACTTGAACTTCTTTGTTCAATTCGTAATAAACTTCTTGATTATCAAGCTGTTCATGAATTCGAAACGATTGTCGAGTCTCATCGAATAGAAAAAAAAAACATTCAAATAACAGTACTTAATCAATCATCAATCGATATTAAAAACAACAAACATACGTAAATTTAAATGAGAACAATACCTGTTAAGCCGATCATTGCCATGGCAAAGTGCTTTCAGCTATCGTTTGTTTTTCAAAAACAATAAGCTACTGATATTCTAATCATCTAAAAAGACTTAAAGAGAAAATAAAATATCTTCTTTGTTCATGAAGATTTTAGAGATTTAATTAATTTTTTTAATATATAAACATTCATTCCTGAGATAATTTCAGTATCATCTGAAAAACTCTTGCAAAAATTATATAGTTTCTTCACTAATCGAACGAGTTCTACCATAATCTATTCGACTATCATCAAGAATTATTGACAATTACTAACGAAAATCTCGTTGATCTATTGAAAGTACTCAATGATCACCAACTACGTTTTTTTTATGCTTGAATTTAACTACTAATTAATGTTAGTTTTTTTATCAAATAGGATACTACTATAACTAGATCTTGTTCACTTCAAATAGTATCTTACATTCTGGAAAAAAATTATCTGAAATAACTTCAAAATAGCTATATTCACTGGATCAATGAAGGATGTTATCCATTAATAATATAGATTTTTAACGAATACAGAAAATGGATCAAACTACAAGAAGATATTAACGACAAATACCAATGAATTCAATTTTCTTCTAAGAATCAATGACTTCTTCAGCATTTAAGAAATCTTTTATTATGATTGTTTTCCAAATATTTTCAACAATATTTTATAGATCAGTAAAAAATGATTCAACAGCTTTTTGTTAGATTTGTACTTTTCGGCAAATTGTATTCATACTACGTTTCCTTTTGTAATTTCTTTGAAGTAAGACAAATCTTGATGATACTGACTGTATTGTAATGTTTAAGTTATTTCGATCTAATGTCATTTTTAATGTGATAGAAACTGAAAAACTTAAATGATATTATGAAGAGTAACCTCAATACCATGAATAGCGTTCAAATGATTTATCATATGACTGTCACACTGTTAGTTTTTTTAATCGTCTTTAACAGTTATCATTCAACCTGCGAGTTATATATTTTTGTTGTGTTTATCATCTTTCTAAAGCACTTTGTAATATATATTTTTCCTTTTGTAAATACAAGCCATGACTTATGATTCTTATCTTTACGAACGGAAAGCATTTCTTTGCATCTGAATCGAGTTTTTATTTCATTACGACGAACCACAAAAAAAATAATGGTATACATTGGACCACTGTCTTTACTGTTTTCAATCTTACTTGCCATAAATATGTACAGTGAAACAACTCAAAATCATGTCATTATGTGGACTGTCAAACCGTTATTAATGCCTGTACTGCTGGTTTTATTCTTATTAAATGCACACAATAATTTGTCTCTCGAACGACGATGTTTAATGATAGCACTTATTTTTTCCTGGTTCGGTGATCTATTACTAATGCTACATAGAAATGATTTATTTGTCTTTGGTTTGGCTTCCTTCTTAATTGCTCATATTACTTATGTTATTTCATTTATTGTTAGACTTCAACATGAAGGAAATGCATTAAGACAACGATTAACCATGTCTACTATGCTGATTACATCGATTCCTTTCTTAGCTTATATTACACTCATGCTTTACATACTTTCTCCAAGATTGAATACAAACCTAGAAGAAACTAAAGGTTTACTCATACCTGTAGTATTTTATATTACTATAATCGTTGGTATGGCTTACACATCTTATTTACGTAATAGAAAAGCTTCTGGCTTTTGGTCAGTCTTTGCCGGAGCAGTATTCTTTGTTATGTCAGATACAATCTTAGCTTTCAACAGATTTGTTACGCCCTTACCTACACCGGGTTTATTCATTATGTTCACATATGGTGTAGGTCAATATTTAATTACAATTGGTACTTTACAAGTGGCTGATAAAGACTTGAAAATTGCCTAAATTGCCATTAATTTCTTAGTTCTCTTCTTTAAAGATTAAATACATCAAGTAATAACTTAGAATAAATCACAAGAAATGTTTTAGTCTTTTTTGAATTATTTATGTATTGATGTTGACTCGAAATTAATCAATCATTTAATTTTGAAATAAAATTATTTTTTTGCCTAGAAAGACTTTTAATAAATGATTAGTTGAAATATGACTATTAAGACATTTTTATTAGTTCGAAATAGCTTCTATAGCAAGAACTAATACATCTTATGGTTCTATTCGATACAAGCTATATTAAACATTTTCTAAAATCGATGAACATAATTTACAATTATTTTTCTACGATGAATCGTGTTTTACTATTCTCTTGTCAGTTTATCCTATTGATTAATAGCAAATATTTTGTCACTAAAAAACGTATGTCGAGCAAAATTTAGTTAACAAGATATATGAAAATTAATCTAGAGCATGGCAAATATCAGAATTGGCACATTTTCATTAGTACTTATTCAAAAGAAAATTTTCACTAAAAAGAATGTTATGTTTCACGTAATATTATTGAATTCATAAAATATATCATCAGTTGGAGATTAAATTAACTATTAAAGTTTACATGTCGTTTATTTGTTACAATTTATAAGAAATATTATTACGAATAAATTAAAAATGGTGATTTTAATTAGACTATGAACAACAAGCTTATTTCCGTTCGATTGAATATCATCATATATTACTTTTTCCAGTGATTGATCAATATTAAAATAATCCCCACTACTTAATCTTCTATCAATTGACTGTTTTAAAAATTCTCTTGGATAATCTCGATTTAATGCATTAATATATAGTTGAAAGACATTTAAATTTAAATAAGCACTTGTTGGTAAGTAATCAATAGATGAGCTATCACTATTAATTTGATTATGATATTGAACAATTTCATTCCATTTAAATGCTCCACTATCAGCATAGCTTGAACTTTCAAATTGATCATCATCATTATAATATCCTCCACGAATACCATAAATCTTTTTAAAGTCTGAAGCATATTTTAATTTTGACAAAAATAAACTACAAGCACTATCGCAACTACCGTTGGTTAAAACATAAATTGATTCAAAATGTTTCGTATTAGTTCCGTTTTTAATCCAATATTCTCTCTTACCAAATATCTGTCCATCACAATTAATAGACTATTTCATTGAATATTCATCTGTCAGATTACGTCTTGCATAATTAATATAAGGTTCCATGCATTCCATATTAGTAAATGATGAAAAGTTTCGAAGATCTAATATTGAATCTGAAAAGAAACTAAAAGTTGTTGCAAATGTTTGTAACGGTTTTGTTGTTCTACCATCCATTGGTTCATATACGAGACGAAGTGAGGAATATTCTGGAACTAAATAATTTAATAAACCGTAAGCTAAATAACTGTGACCACCACGATTTCCGATTAAATCAATTGTTAATGTTTCTCCAGTAGCTGCGAAAAATATCTGTTTTACGTCTTCAACAACATCTGCATCAAATGATTCTAATCTGATAATTGAGGCATTTGTATTTTTATGAACATAATAATATAGGTGTTTGTAAAAAAACTTGCACAACTTCTTTTACAAATATCATCTTCTATATTAGTGTTTTTCGAATTGTTTTATACTGTGGTGGATAGCCGACGACGAGTACTACACGACACCATAATTTGATATGCCATCTATTCACTTGTAGAAGAAAAATAAGACAAACATCTCTTTCTCTTGGACATAACAAAAATATTTATAATCGAAATTTCAACATTTTTGACTTTTTCACCCAGAAAATGTTCATTAAATAGGAGCCGTCTTCAAACGTTTCGTATAGGAGTTGATAACCTACAACGAGTTATATCGAATATCATTATAGTTCAATATTTTATTCGTTCACCTTTACAATCAATAAGAAATAAACTTCGTTTTTTCATAGAAATCGCATAATTTTTTGTAACATTAATATCAATATTTCTGAATTCTTCAGCTAAAAAAAGTTCGAGATTTTCACTATTTACAGGTGTCTTTTTTCCACGTTGAATTTCACTATCGACCATATGTTATCGATCGGATTTGTATCCGGATTATTAGATGGATAATCTAATAACTGTGGTACATTTTCGATAAATTTTCTTTTATTTCGCTATTGAAAGGGAAAGAAATCAGACTTCTATATATACAGCGTGCAATATATCTGTCGAGGATTTAGCCCTCAAAAAATGACTTTTGTAGCTACTTATAATAGTAGAGAAACAGCTTTAAAAAAAATTAATTTTGTGCAAGTTTTTTTGCAAACACCTGTATATGCAACCTTTCTGACTTCTCTTTTTCAGCTGTTGCTCGCTAGAAATAGAGGTCCAGTGTTTTTTTTTTGTAAAATCGTTTCAAGACTCTTTGACTTGATAATATTGATACGAACAGCTAAGATAACAGAAATAAAAACTTAATTGGTTTGTTATAAAAAAAAAGAAACTTCATCCAAAATCTTTCAAGATAGATCGTGCGTCACATTTCATCGACTAAACTATTATATAAAGGCAGTCAATTTCACTTTGAATTCAATTCGTGCTTGAAACCCTTTTTTTATGCTATAATATTATAATTATGAGACACACATGTGGTACAATGTATCGTTCGTTTTATAGTCGACTATGGCAACCTTGTACTCGTGTCAATGTTGAGTAAGAAAAAAAACTCGTCTTATCTTAAACTTTATCAATTACTCAATGTCCTTATATCCAATAAATAGAAGAAGTATTGTCAAAATAGATGTTCTATTAAACAAAATAAAATACAGTCAATCTATTGTCATTTCTATATACATATAATAACAATGGACACTTTATTTTTATCTTTTTCGTTCTTCTTATTTTCATATCTTTAAGACTGTGTTTCATTTTACCTAAATCTCAACTTCTTCTGATGTAAATACATATAAATATTCTGATTTCAGACATGAATTATTTGTGTTATTTGTCTTTTAATAGGAACAACATATATTCGATTTCTCGTTTCTCAAGATTGTATGTTTTTGATGAATTATTGTCAGTTTTGTCAACAATTTGTGCATTACATTCATCATTTTCGATGCCTATCTACTATCGAAGTCTATCGTCAGAAGGTTTATGTATTTCAAGAAAAAGATTGAAATTTAAATCGCTTCTGAATTAATAATGTTTTTTCATATATGTTACAATATGAATTGTAAACAAGAAAACAACAATGTAGAGCAAGGACAGTGCATTCACCAGTAGCTTCTAGAAAACTCGATCATTTCTAAATTTGTATGATTGTGACCAGTACAATTGATACGATTTCCTTTTATTGCTTGCAGCTGATGTACATCAAAACAAAGCTTTATTAGGCGCAGAAAAAAAAAGAACGAGACAGAATTGTTAAAGTTTCGAGAATAAATAAAATTTATTAATGAATAAATAATCAATTCTGGTTGATTAGAGAGCATCGTGGAATAACAATGTAGGGAAAGTTAGCAGCCGATTCGAGTATTTTCCATGACGATTCGCCTGAACGACTAAGCCACAAAAGCAAACTAGTAACCTGCCTACAACTCGACGAGCTCTATCTGACGGTGTCATCAGTTTCCGCGAAGCTTCCACTTGAACGCCACAAAAATCAAAACAACACAAAACGCCAATAGGAAAAAACAATCATTTTCATAAAAATCATGACGATTCGCCTGAGTGCTTAAGCCACTCCTGAATCATACGTCAATCGACGCAGAATTTCATGTACTATCTAATCGCATATAAATCATTTCGATAAAAGTCTCTTATAACCGACTGGGTTTCTAGGAAACCTGAGATAACGGTTTTTTGAAAGTATTCCCTCTGACGATTCGCCCATAAGCTTAAGCCACCTTTGAAAACCACATCAATCAATGCAGAATCGCGAGCTCTATCGAATGCTGCACAGCTTGTATGGCTCAACATCAATCAGATGGGACTCTCACCCGTCAAACCTTCCAAAGCTATGAATACTTGACACTTCCCCGGTAGCTCTCACGACGATTCGCTCAAGTCCATAAGCCACTTATGAGTCATATACCATTCGATATAGACTTCGACGCTATATCCAATTATGTATGATTCATCCATGCCTTACACTGTAAAGAAACATGTTTTCGCGGAACGCTAGAAAGATTTTCGGGGTTTGTTGCCATATGAAACCCTTGACAGGATTGTGGGAAAGGGTTTCCGAGCTCTCGGAAACCATCCGATGCAATGAGAAAAGCTGCGGATCCAGAAAACGCAGTGTAGGTTGAGGAGGCTTGGAAGACCTTGTACAGGTTACCGCCAGCTACTCACAAAACGATTCACTGACCTATATCTGTCGACTTATTGTAACCACTTATTCTATCCCCCTGTTCGAACCGTTTATTCTGTCGGCTTGTTCTAATCTCTAATCTAAGTCTTTAATATATAGTTTACCTCTTATTCCATGGCCGTATTGTAACTCCTTAATTTAAATCTGTCCTCTTGCTCTAAACAGTTAATCTAACTTTTTAGTGTTAATTTGAGTTTCATATTGATGAACATGTGTCTGTAGTGTAATGAGACATAATAATCGTAAGTTCGGCATGAAATCTCTTCGCTTGGATACTTTTCAACGGTATACAACTATAGCTTTTCTATTTGGAAAACCTTTAATAGTTTCACAGTAAACGTAATACGTTTCCAAACCTTCAAAAGATTTCGTCCATTTGTCTGATAGTTTAAGAGGTGTGCCAAAGTAGCACGAAACTTCATGTATTCCACAGCGGATCTTTTCTTTCAGCCTAGTTGAAGTCAGACAAAGACATGAAGTTAGTTATAGTTCCAGGGACCTCAATTCGAAAAGTCTTCTAAATATAGAGTCTTGACGTGAGTGATAGTCGTCAAGTCTGTCAAATGAATGATCTTGAAGATAGTCTTTGTGTGGAAATATGTGCTGGTCGTAAAGTTTTCAAGGCTCCTTAATGTAAACTCATGAATTTCGTCCAAGTCCTTCAGTGTTCATATCTGTTAAAGCGAGTACTACGAAAGTAGTGAAAGTCCCCAAGTGTATATGACTGTGGGTTCCAGAGTCATATTGTCAGTTGCAGTACTAAGTTCTTTAAGTCTGTCAAGGACTTAGACATGATGTCAGTCAAAGTGCTGAATCTTTGAAAAGACAGACATGAACTTAGTGAAATCTTTCAAGTGTTCTTGTTTTTCAAATTCACCGTCATGAAGTCAGTGAAATTGGTGGAAGTTGGATCAAGTCTCCTAAATAGAATATCGTTAATTTGGTCTGACTTCTGGAGTCTTCATGTCTCGTAAAACTGGTGTTGTGTTGTCAGTCTTGTTGCTATAGTCTTCATCTCTCCCTCCGAAACACTGAGTGAAAAAGTTAGCCTTAGTCCTGTTGTTTTTCTGTATTTGAAAACCATAATCACCTTTATGTTTTCTTTTGAGCAAGAGTCGCGAAGTTAGTCTTGTCTCTGCGAGTGTTGACATCTCTCAAAGCTACCGTCATGAAGTCAGTTAAAGTTTTTAAGTCTTCATGTCGCTCAAAGCCATTGCCATGCATTTAGTCAATGTCATAAGGTCTTGAATCCTGCCGAACTTAGAGTCATGAAGTTAAGTGGAGTCCTATAGTGATGAAAGCTTTTTTGTATTGAAGCCAAATCCTGAAGGCAGTCCGACTTCTGCTGTTCGTATTGCTGTCGAAGCTAGAATGTTGATGTCATTAGGAGTCTTGGTGTCTTTGGTGTCGTTACTGTCGAATTATAGTTTTCGCGTTAGCGTTTTTACTGCACCTTTTACCGGATCAGTTGGGGAAAATATATCTTCCAGTGTAAAGAAATAAATATGTACTGTTTTTCTCCGAAAGCTTCCAAGATATTTTACTTTGTGTATATCTTCATACAGATGATTCATAAAAACGTCAACTTTATTTTGAAATGATACGTCATGGCATTCTCTCCAATAGGTGAACGCAGAAGTTCTTGTGACTTGTGCTAATACATTTGGAGAGAGCTAAAAGGTAAGGTATATGAGAGTCTATAGTTTCTCACTGTTCTGAATTTGATTTTTCTTCATCTAAGCAAAAATTGCATTTCCAAGACCTTTCATACTTTCCAACTATTTTCCAACTCAAGATGCTTACTTTATCGAGATGATAGTATTCAAAAATGAGTTTCTCTACATATGATTTGATTTAGACAGTAAATGTTGATCCATGCAACCTATACGCCGTTCGATAGAGCGTCAAATTCTGTATCGAATGGTATATTACTCGTCAGTAGCTAATGTACCTGAAAGAATCGTCATGGAAAATAGTAAGAAGGAAACCGTACTGCTCCTGGGTTTGGAAGGTTTGACGGGTGAGAGTCCCATCTGATTGATGTTGAGCCATGCAAGCTGTGCAGCATTCGATGGAGCTCGCGATTCTGCATCGATTGCTGTGGTTTCCAAAGGTGTCTTAAGCTTATGGGCGAATCGTCAGAGGGAATACTTTCAAAAAACCGTTATTTCAGGTTTCCTAGAAACCCAGTCGATTATAAGAGACTTTTATCGAAATGATTTATATGCCATTAGATAGTGCATGAAATTCTGCGTCGATTGACGTATGATTCGGGAGTGGCTTAAGCACTCAAGCGAATCGTCATGGTTTTTATGAGAATGATAGTTTTTTCTATGGGCGTTTTGTGTTGTTTTGGTTTTTGTGGCGTTCAAGTGGAAGTTTCGCGGAATCTGATGACACCGTTAGATAGAGCTCGTCGAGTTGTAGATGGCTTACTAGTTTGCTTTTGTGGCTTAGTCGCTTAGGCGAATCGTCATGGAAAATACTCGAATTGGCTGCTAACTTTCCTTACATCACCTGATGATATTCTTCGTGTACTTCAACATGAATTGGATAAAGTTAATAATTTAAAAACACTGTGTTGCTTCATTGCTGCTAGAAAAACATATGAAGTTAACTTTGGGGTTAAGCTTACGATCGATAATTTTATTCAATTATTGAAAGCCAAACACGAATATCTAAAATGAACCAGACATCGTTTTAATCAGAATTCATTTTCATTGTTCTCTGATCATTGATCATATTGCGTCTAACAGTCAAATGGAAATTTCATCTACACCAACTGACAAGTCGCAATCATCATTATCTTTTAAATCAACAAGTGGTGCATCATCAAAATTATCACGAATGTGAAAGAAATCAAGCGTTGCCGATTATAAAGCCGATATTGTACAACGAATAACAACATGGCAGATTACAGCTAACTGTGATGAAAATTTGGTTTTGAAAGAAGATGTTGATTATTTTTTGAAAATTAACAAATCAGTAATTGATACATATGCATGTACTTTATCATGTCAATGTGGAGTTCACTTTAACTATATTATTCGAATGGATCGTTTAAATTGTCCTCGTTTTATCGTCACTTAAAAGAACAACACGGTGTCAAACGGTTGATGACAGTGAATTATATTGTATTTTACAAACATTAATATTGTATGATGACAATGTAAATATTTGGAAGAATCGAAAAAAAATGAATAAACTATTGATAATAATTCAATCGTCACTCGATCACATTCATCAGATCTTGCTTCAACGTCCATTGGTAATATGTCAAGTACAAACAAGAAATCAAAATATGCAAGTTTAAAACGTTCTCCATCACTATTGACAGGAGCATCTTCAAGCATCAACAATATTCCTATTTAAAAAATGAACTATCGTTGTTAGATATTTGAAATACACCGTTGAGATGAAGCATTCATAATGATAATTGAAACATCATGTAGTATTTGATTTTCTTTTGTACTTGAATATTAAAAGTATGATGAAACAGATTCTATTTCTTTTTTTTTCTATTTATATTTACGCAGTGTTCCTATAGTCAATGCAGGAAGTAAGTCCGTATAACTCTAGTATTTATTAAAGTTAATTAACTAATTTTTTTTCATATAAAGGGTATCACTATGAAGTTTTTACTGACCCGGACAAACTTCACAAATACTATTCAAAGTTATTCCTTTCCACTAAAATACAAAAATCAGTCGTATGTCGATTTCAAAAAAAATCTACACAGTGTTCCTCTTCTGATACTCCGATTTTTTGCGTCTTTTCTAGCGTTCAGATCAGCCAAATCCTGCGCTATCGTTTCTATGCATTTATTTTGATATGTCACTACTAAAAGAAGCCTAATGGTGTCAAGTTAGATGCTCTCAAAGCTCATAACGTCGATGTACTTCTTCCAGACTACCTCTCATTATGAGGAAATATAAAGCGATTGGACGAGTCTCATGATCACCGGACTTAACACTATTCAGTTTCTTTTTATAGTGACATATTGAAACAAATGCATATGAAGGATAGCGCAAGATGTGCTCAATCTAAATGCCAGAAAAACAAACGCAAGAAACTGAAACATTGCCTAGTAATTGTTTTGGGAGTAGAAAAACGACGAATTTTTGTATTTCAGTCGAAAATAATAGCTTTGAATGGTATTTGTGAAGTTTGTCCATGGCAACGAAGACCTCCCACAGTGATTCCAATTATTTTTGAAACAAAAAATAAGTTGATTAACTTTGATAAATAGTGGAACTCTACGAATTTACTTTGCATACGAGCTTTTGGGACACCCTGTAGATGGTTAGTAATCTTCTTTTCTTGTGAGAAAAAGAAGGTTTTTGATATTATGAAACTTTTTTTTTCTTGCTTGCTCCATGATCCTCATTTCATATCTATGTAAAAATAAGTCATATATTAATACTTCTGTGTTTGAAAAAACCTATTTAAAATTATGTTTATCGACTTATAATAAAGAAATAAATGTACTTTATATATAATTAACTTATCTCTTTACTTGCAGAACGAATTTTTGTTTCGTTATACGTAATTTCATTAATAATCAATATCTTTATGATACAACACATAAGAACGATACCGTTTTGACTTTAATTATAGATCTATTTAACATTAATAAATTAGCTGATGAAAAGATGGATTTAAGCCACAATCAATTTTATAACGTTTTAAAAATTTTTCTGATCGAAGTGCATAAAAATGTATTAATCTTCGAGAAGTATCTTTTTTTCGAATGACTCTATAGAGAAAAAATCACTATTTTTCTTTCAATTATTTTAACAATAAAGAACTATATAAATCTTTTTTTGCGTCACTGGATAGAACAATATGTAGTCATAGCAAACGCTTCTTTGCCAACTAACGAATATAACATTATTGTTTTATGAAAATTTTAATACATTTATTTGAAACTTAAGTTTATATTTCAGCATCATTTTATTCTTTTTCAATTGAATAATATTCATATAAATTATATTACATAAGATAAAATATTTCCAAGTAAACTTGATAAAATAAACAATATTAATAAATTTCCTTGAATAAAATGATTGAAGTTTGTTGTTTCTTGAATTTCTAATTGCTTAAAAGAAAATAGAAGTAAATATATGAAGATTCAAGGCTAACTAATAAACTTATTTTTGTGAATAGATCAAATTTTTTGATAGCGAATATTTTTTTATCCTGATTGTTAAGATTAGTAATATATATATATTGTCTTTTCGATCAAATCTCATGTTGTAAGAGTATCTTATTGAAATTTTATCAATCAGAATATAGTACTGAATTTCACTCCATTGATCTATCTCATCACACAATACATATGATAATCAACAAGATATAATGTTTCAAGATGATTAATAAGAATTGCAGATAGTAAGTAAAATTGATTTACAACATGCCCTTTTATTGTCATCTCAAACAACAATCAGATGAAAGTAATATTAAAACAATCTTTACCATCAATACAACCTGATAGCAACCAGATGATATGCATCAAAGAATCAATCCGATCATACAATTTAAGTCAATTGTTCACCTTTTGTCTTCAATTTCGACAGTTTTTTTTTCTTAACTAGTTTAATTCACTCAAGAGATATTAAAAACGAAATCTTACAATGAAAAAAAAAAGAGAAAGTTATTATATAAAAGAAAACAATTTTGTCAGAGATACAGTTAAGATTTGCTATGAATACTTCAATCCGTCATATTTATATTACAATAAAATATATGCATTACTTTGCTATTGTTTCCATTATCTGTTCTTTTATTTTCTTAAACTGACTACACACAAATCAAATCAAATGTTGTACAAATACATATAAAAAAATAGACTTAATCGAAAAAGAAACAATTCCAATGTTAAGCATCTTTCTTATACATATCGCCTCTCTCGGGCATATCTAAAACAAAAAAACGTAAATAATACATTATGGTTTTTTTTGTATGATATACAAACCAGGTCCATTTGCTGTTAATGGAAATTGGCAAGCATCACCTTTCCATCCCGGTGGGCATCTACATTCGCCTGTTACAACATCGCATAGTTGAAATGATTGACATGGACATGGTTTACAACCGATGCCATATGTATTTGTTGGACAATCTTTAAAAAAATACGACATAATATTTTATACTTCTAAATTTTTTAATGATACCTTCTTCACAACGAACACCAGTGCGACCAGCAGGACACTCGCATACACCTGTTTGAGAATTACATGAATTTCCATTACAATCGCATTTATTTAAACATTCATCACCCCATTGTTCTGTGGGACATGCTTTTAAAATAAAGAAAAACTTCATATTTATTTTTTAATAATATCATGTTTTCTTACCGGTTTCACATTGATCACCATGAAAACCAGGTTTACATCGACATTTACCCGTTTTTGGATCACAACCATCTGATGTTTCTGTTGAACAATTACATGTTTGAGAACAATAAAATCCATATGTAAATGATCGACAATCTAAGTTTAATATTTTATTCAATCATCAAACATTTTTTATCTTCTTACCAAACTGACAAGTCGAACCATAAAATCCAATAGAACAAGTACAACAACCTGTCATTTTATTACATTGAGCACCATTTTTACACTGACATATTTCTGAACAATTGCGACCAAATGTTCCTTCAGGACATTCTAATTTTATTATCAAGAGACAAAATTATTATTCTTTATTTCTCATCAATCGAACAAACCTTGATCGCATAATTTTCCTGTTATACCCATTCCACAGAGACAAGCTCCTGTACGCGAATCACATGTTGCTCCATTAAGACAATTACATCGATGAATGCATCCAGGACCATACCAACCACGCTCACAAGCTAAACATGAAAAAGAAATTGTGATAAAACATAATGGCACGACAAAAAAAGTCAAATAACGAACATCGTTCACAATATCGTCCGGCATGACCCGAATGGCACAGACAACGACCCGATAATGGTTCACATTGAGCATTATTCATACACATACATTTTTGACGACAACTAGGTGGACCATAATAACCTTTGAATCGATAAATCAAATATTATCATAAAAAGAAAAAAAAATGCTTTTTTTTAAATTACCTTCTGAACACGAAGATATTAACGATTTTTTTCTTTGTTGTTCAAATAAACATTTTGAATTACCATTACAAGGTAATGAATTACATTCTCCTTCAATCAAAAAAATAAACAATCAATTCTTTTTTCTTTCATTATACTTCATCTTACCAGTTCGTGGATGGCAAACATTATCTTCTGTACATTGACATTTTTGCAAACACATGTGTCCAAAGGTACCTGGTGGACATGAAGATTCGCATCGACTACCGGTGAAACCCGATAAACAAAAGCAATGACCGTCACGTGAATCACATATTCCACCATGTTGACATAGACATCGATGAATACAATCACGACCATAATAATTACTTGGACAATCTATTAACATAGCAAATATTACATTTCAAACCAAGAACATTTACATAATTCTAAGCGATGTACACGCACAAAAAAAAAAGAAGCATCGAACATTCATCAAATACTCACATATTAATATGCTATCTGTGTCAAGTAACAATTCAAATAATGTCTCTCAAATAAGAGCTTCTCTTCTCTAACTCACCTTCTTCACAACGAATTCCACGATGACCGGGCAAACATTGACACTTGCCAGTCTAAAGGATGACGTAAAAAAATAATATCTCTTTATGCATAAATAGAACAAAATCAAATATCATTTTTCTATTTAGTATGTAATCGAATCCCTTTTTCTTTTTTTGAATAAAACACAAAGCCTACCTACTTCCATATGACATGAAGCCGTATTTCCTTTATGACATAATTGACATCGATGTATTCCATCAATTATATTTCTTTCAACCATGGTTGTTTGATTACAAAATACTCCAGTAAAACCCGATTGACAATCACATGTTCGCATACGCCAATTACATGTACCAAATATACATTGAGAACATGAATATTCACAAAGGAGACCAAAACGATTATGTGGACAACGATCTAAAACAAATAATAATAATAAATGTAAAATATAAAGAAATTTTAATAAACTTACTATTAATTGAATCTAATTGATGAGAATATGCATGTCGTAGAGGAATTTTTCGTTGAACTCGATTTGGTTGCATTGCTTTGAAAAAAAACATAAATCATATTCAGCATGTTTTTTTATTTCTTTTTACTGTCAAAACAGATTTAATTTATCGATAGACATGCTTCTGAATGAATATTAATAAAATAAAATTCATCAGATATTGATATTAAAGGAAAAAACAATGATATTTATTTTATTATTAAATTTTGATCATATTTCCAATATACGTGACTTTCTGCTCTGTTCCACATTGTGATTAGACATTTGATATCTAAATCATCATTTTAAATATTCTTTTTTTTTTTCGATTGACCGAGATAGATAGAACTTAAACGTTGTTTTCCTTTTAATACGTATGTCAACATGCATCTGTATTTTATCAAAAAAAAAATAGAACAAGAACATTAGTTCATGGTCATCGATTTACAAATCAACCCCTATGAATAATAACTACGTGTGTGTAAATGTGTTGGTAATGATATCGTCACTAACCACCAATAGTGAACACATTTTTTTTGTATGAAACGAAGGGAAAGTATTGATATGAAAAAATCAAGTGGTGTACTCATTTATAACGAGCATCTATGATGGATTTCAATATATTATTCAATCGTTCATCATCGTTGCTCTTTCATTTTTCATACATTGAAGTATACAATAAAATCATTTACACAACAATAGTCAATTATGTTCAAACGAAAGAAAAATTAATATTTTTTATCAGAGACAAATGAATTCTTACCAATAGGACAACCATAATCATGAATGAGACGTGTCCATCCAAGACAGCAGTGATAGATGGTCGCATTTACTTCTTTTGTTACTGTTTGTTCACTTCGATAATATTCCGTTCTAAGAATAGAAATCGATTAAGATGTAATAGTCTTGAAAGAATAAATCGAACCTGTGTTCATATATTGGACATATACGACGACCATTAGAACAATTGTGTGACCATACTTTAACAAGATGGTCATAACTTTTGAGACATGGAACAAGTTTAGTTACAGTACGAGTTTCAACTTTAGAGCAGACATTTGGCCTTCAAAAGAGATTTCAAAAAATCTTCATTTTTTTATCGTTTGGCCATTTATTAACTGATTTGTTTTTTTCTAGTTATTGAGAAGAAAATCGAAGGAATGCAAACAATTCAGTATATTTTTATCGTTCAAACAAACACAATCACATTCTTCCTAGAATAATGTCTCCTATGTTTTTTTGTTGCGTCTGTCACAGTAGTCTTTTGATCTTATCTGTGTCAACCCGACAATAATAATATAGCTTTCGTCAGTGTCAACATTTACCTTGGATCTATATCTATACTTTACTTCGTTAGACTAGATACTCACATGTCGCTTGTCAATTCAATATCATCATGGAAATCATCTTCGATATTTGCTGTTGTTGATAAAATAATAAGAAACAAAAATAAAAAATAACTTGTTTGACTCATAGACATTAATATTATTTGTTTAGATGAATGAACAATATCAGATTTGAACACATATATCAAATCACCATCTTCATCATTATCATTATTGTTATCATTACTATGAACAAGTATTGAGAGAGAACAAAACCAAGATGACGATCGATAAAATAACTAGGTATGTATATATATATATATTTGAATGTGCGAAGAAGAAACAAATGACAAATAAAGCGCAATTGAAGGACAGGTGAACGAATGAATATGAGTATTGCTCTTTATACTTCTACTACTGATTACGTCCGTATGTGAGTTTGTATGTGTATATGTATAAAGATACTACTTACACTGGTTAAACGATGGGCAAACGGGACACACACGTAAAAAAAGAGAGTATAAATGGTACAGTTCTCTTTCTCTCTCTCTCTCTCTCTCTCTCTCTCTCTTTTTTTTCTGTCCCTTTCATTCAATATTAGAACAACAATAACACTTAAGAGAACGATAGAGATCGAAAGAGAAAAGAGAAATTGCAAATAAAAGCATCTTTTTTTTTAGTGTATACACGCGCACAAACAAAAACACCAGACACATGTGTATTATATTTGTCTTACGCACTCCACTAGAATTCATTTGCGTATAGAAGAAGAGAGTGCTACCTCTATCCTGCAACCATTAGTTACTTCAAAGACATATGACAATAATAAATAATTGACTTTTCTTTTACTGCTGTTATAACGACCATTTCCACTTCCAACACTACTATTCTCATGAATACACAAGAGGCGACAACTGATTATGTAAACAAATCTATACACAACACTTTCATATTAGAAATATATGCATACACCCGAAAAAAAAAGACTAACCCAATGGAACAGTAAAGATATTCTTCTTTCATGTATCACTCGAACGAGATCGTTAGTTGTCATATAGCATAAAGTAACCACCAAGGAATTTTTCGGTCTGATCATTTTTATGCTTCCAAATTACAAAGAAGAATATTCTGAATCTATCTTTTTATCATTAAAGAAAAGGCTCTCATTGTCAAATGTTCTTTTTTTAAAATCATTTCAATAATTATCTTTTTCTTTTCTTTTTTTACAATGACAACAATCGTTAGAAAACCAACTGGAGTAGCTGATATTCTGAATTCTAAACATTCTTTACTTATGATTTTTTTCGTATAAAGTAGTTCGGTATTTGTAATAAAACTTTTCATGAATTTCATGTTTATATCAGAAGTACGATCTAAATACAAAAAAATGATTGAACCATCTCGCATACGTATTCTAATACTTTCAAATACTGAGATAATACTAGAATCATTAAAGACAGCAAAATTTTTATGTTTTAGTTATTTATTACATGCCGATAAAAAGAAAATAAATGTTCATTTGACTTTTATTGAAGTACAAAGTTGAATCATTCATAATATAACACAATTGAAAAGAAATGACAGTACAACTACTCAATCAAATTTCAGACATATTAAATATATAATTAGATTAAAATGAGCATCAATATGCAACGTTCTTTCTATTGTAGAATAGAATCATTCAACTGATTTTTTAAACTCATACCTATGCATTTCTTTTCTTCTTCTGTAATACAGTATGTATTGAGTTATGAATTATGAGTCATTAATAAATGTATAGTTTCTCTAAAACTAGCAAAATCTGAACAATTTAAACTGAGAATTAACTCGTTAAATCACTATTCAATGTTCACAACAATGTAGCTTCTTTTTAGTAGTCAGTCTTCCTAACTAAGAGCAAATGGTCCTCATCTATACCACTATGCTGTTAATTATAATTAATTAATAACCAATTGTTTATTCCGTTGCTTGACAAGCCTGCGATTTTCTCGCAAAGACAAAAAAAGAACCTCAAATATATGATATTTTATTTTCAAACAAATAAAAAATCAAAAGAAAATCTCTTCAAATTAAGATAAAATGTAAATAAACAAAGACATACAGATTTTACTGTGCGAACAAAAAAATTCAGTTTCATCAGTTCATTTTTTTAAATTCTCTCATTTTGTATACAGACGTCTTCCAATATCTGTCTTGTTTGATAGAGATGACCTGATTGTGTTGGCATTGACAATTTGATTACTATTCGTAATACATTGACTAATACTAGTAGAATTTTAACATTACGTAATGAAATACCAAGCTATTCAATAGCATTCAAAAGAACACGTGCAACCACTATTAGGTTCGAGATCACTATCAATGGACCATGAATTACTAGAATAAATAAAATGAACTCATTCAAATACACCGATGTAACCAGTATCGAATATAGGTATTTCTTTATTCCAAACTGTTATTCAGCTCTTAATAATGCAAGTGTCATAATCAAATTGAAAGCTGCCTACTTATGATCCCATATCATTTTGATGAGTAACAGTTGTATCAAATCTTGCCATTTGCTGTTCATCACATGCAATTGAGAAAGAGTGGAATTCTGAATTCTCAGATTCGCTACGATTTCTAGAATTTATCGGAACTCTCAGTCAGATTCGGAAGATCTATCAAGGGATACCATCTGCGTCGCAGCAGATTTTTATGTTGGTGTCTCATTTTCTTTTCTTTTCATCTGTTCGCAGTCGCCAATATATGTCTATATCGATGACTCGTTGATTGTTTTCTTCACTTGTAATCCATAGACTTATGTTATTTCCACTGTAAGTATTGCGGCTCAATCGATTTCTTCCTTCATCTATTAAAAATTTCAGATAGGTTCATCCTAAGAGTCCTAAATACATAGTTGCACTCGAACATGTTCGAATCGTTTTTTAATTCAATTTCATTTGCTTCCAGAATCCGTACTGAGTCATGAATTGAAAGATGATTACTTTTCTTAGTCAATAGTTACAGGAATAACTGTTTGAATATGTACTCTAGTTATGTTTATATTCAAATGAAAAACTTTTTGTGCAAGAATATACGTTTAAGTTTTTTTCTTTTGTTGGTTTTATCTACATGATTTTGTATTTAAATAGGTATAACGTTATTATCAATCTTCCTTTCAGTATTCGACTTAAAAAAATTCTTACGTTCACTAGTTTCGTTTTTTTGTCCAATACCTATGAACTATATTCTATTCTGTTGCAAGAGCTAGACAATATCCCACAAAAGCAAGTTATATTATACTTGCGGTTCAATGTAAAGAAGTAAATGCGATCGAAAAATCATTAACAATGAAGATCAGGCTGATAGAGACTATGTAGCAAAAGCAAACAATCCCAAATGCTATGAAAGATTAATCTCCATCAAGAATACGTAGCTTGCAAAAATACGGAACGATGATAGTTAAAAAAAACTCACAGTAGATTCTTTCGTTTGATGATAGCAAACACGTTTGACACGAATAACAGTGCTCTTACTAATTGTACACAAAGCATAGTTTCATGGCACTACATGCTGCATCAAAACTTTCTCGAATATGTTGTATTTATTTTGAATTTGTTTATTTTGTAAAAATATTCCTTATCTCGTCTATTCAAGTGTATTCAAAAAACATCATGATTTCCGTTGAAAGCTGAATGCTTACATCCATTAAGTCTCATTGTGTACACAAATCTCGAGTAGTCTTACTTACATTAGGCGAATTTCATCGCGGTAAACGTTTATCTCGATGAAAAAAACAGATGGAAAGTTCTAATAGAATAGACTAAGAAAAATTAGCACACGAAATTTGATTGGTCGAGAGTACTATGCTGAGAAACTCATTTGTTTGGAAAATAGTTGCTGGCATTTCATCTACAAATCTCTCTTTTCGTTCACTCATTTGCCCTCCAACCAGAATTCGAGCATTGACAACAATTATTGATTTTGAGTTTTCTTCCTCTAAACAAAAGAATGCATTCATCTTTACATTTCCGATCAGTAGCTAATGTTTTTCTTTCTTTCCTCTCGCTTGTGTTTCTATTATCTCAAAGTTTTCTTATCCTTTTTTTACGATGGATTACTTTTCTAATTAAAATGAGATTTTAAATGCAATAGAGATAAATAAAAATGGGAAAGAACTTGTTGTGCAATGGTCTTTATAAAAGATGCCACTGAATTACTATGTTATTGTTGCTGTTGAATCGAGCAACTCGATCTGATCGAACTTAATTATGGCTAAAACATATTCAATTTAGTTTGAAAACTCAGTTTATTCCTTTAATAGGGCTTTAGTTGTGTGGACACTGAAATGAAGTTCCGAAGAAAGAATTCCATAAGACAGGAAAAAGAAATAAATTTGAATCGATTTACAAAATACAAAAATTTACTTGCGATGCTGAGCTCTCTTTTGATCCGCACATGCATAAGTCGTCACGCTTCTCTCTTGCACGAGTGAGAAAAGTGCATGAGTCAGAATGAAAACGAAGAAAAAATAGACCACTTCATTACTCATGACACACTGCTCTCTCTCTCTCTCTCTCTCTCTCTCTCTTAAGTGTTGCTTTTCGCTTTCTGAATAGAAAAAAAGAAAATAACTCCTGCATTATTGCCTCGCACATGTGCAATTAACAGAAGCAAAAAAAGTGCACATCTTACATTCATTCACGGTAAGAATATACTGTTATTAACACGTTGATGACGTCTTTTTAACTAAATAGTTTTATGAATTATAAGACAAATATCCATATGCCGCAGATAAAAAAAAACGTAGTGTCCGTCTTGTTGTGCTGCTTGAGCCGTATTTGTAACGGTTGTTTCATGAAAAATGAGTCTTCCTGTATGCTAATGATATTGCTTATAATATTCACCGGTTCAAACTCTTTCAAAAAAATTCATCCTTTCTCTTCCTAACAAATAGTTTATTTTTTTAAAAATGTAAATAGCATCCATGATTCTTCAAGACATAGTGTAAACGAAAAGTCGAAGATAAACGATTTTTTTAAAACAGTTCTTGGTCAAATTTTTTTATATGTTTATTTAACAATATGATGGATGTAGCAAGTTTCTTCAAAAAAAAATGTTCAACATTTAAGCCTGAACTATTTGGTGGTTAATGTTTCTAATGGATGATAGAAGAAAATTTGTTCTGGCATCTTTATTATGGTAATTGGCGAGTATGAAATTGCGTATTGTTCTGTTGAAATGTCGAGTTTTTATATTACATTAGAACAAAAGTCTACAATAAAGTGAGTATAGAAAGTATTTTTTTGATGCACTTTCGGAATTCAAGTTTTTATATGTAATAGAGATGCGCAGAAACTGACAACTACACCTAGATATTTACAGGAGAGACATAGAAAAACGAACGCAATCCATTAATACAACCTTCATCCAAGTGTAAGTTTTTAACATTCAAATATAGAAATTATAGGTTGCCACGGATGAAGATCAAAAGAATAGGTAAAGAATTATCCTTTATTTGTCTTAAGAAACTGGTGTAAGCAAGTAGCCCAATCATGATAACGCATCACGCTTTTGGCATCTTGTTCTGATCAATCAGGATCATACTCATATAAAAGTATATTAATGATTAATATTTTACTAATTGAAAACGAAATAGTAGACTAAGTGTAACGTAACAAATCGATCTGCATTACGAAACTACTTTGAATTTCTCATGTGTTGGATGAATGTAACTGGTAGCGGACATTAATTCTCTCATTGAAATCAAATAATCCCAGCTAGATGATAACTGACATTTTTGATGAATAACAATTTTATGAAAATTCTTCTCTTTTCTGTCGGTAATTATAAAGGCAGAAAAAAACTGAATTTAACAAGAAAAATAAACAAAAGATTGATTAAGCTGTGGTACATGAAGAACTGTTAAAACAACTTACGAATAAACAAGATAAAAGTCAAAGAAAAGTAATTTTTCATTACAACCATTATTATCCAAGTGGGATTGTTTCTTTTCAAAGAGATACTTCATGCATGTTACCAGTTATATTACTTCAATGCATGAGAAATACAATCAGTCACAAGAGAATTCCAAAGTTGTTTCACAATGCAAATCGATTAGTTAAGTCAGACTGAGTCTACTATTTCATTTTTAACGAGTAAGATATTAATAGTTAATTTCTTTCTAAATACTATTGGGATCAAATGAATTTCTCTCCTTTGTTTCTTTTTGTTTTTATTACTATACTTCTTTTATTTATTAATTCACTATATATTGCGAGAAAGGCCGAAGCGCGCTGCTTCTTTTGATATATTTACGTTGACGATCAAACGCAGTTTAAAGTATAAAAAATGTGGTAGAAAAAAAAACATTTTTTTTTACAAGATAGTGTCCTTAATATTGTAACATTTTTTATTTCACATATGTCATTGCTTAGATAGAAGATCAAATCTTGAATTTTTTTCAAAAGATGCGCTGTGAAAAGCTCTACATAACCTGTATGATTGAATTTCAGTTTACCTGTTCTACTGGCTTTTCTGATACTCAAAATGGACAACTTACATAACAGTGTCACTTCCCATAATATTGAAAATGTTTGGAACACTTTTTGTTTTGCATATATATCGACTTCAGAAAATGATAGAATATTGAATTGTTTTTTAAAATGTGCCGTTGAAAGCTCTACAAAAGCTGTACGAACCAACTCATATAGCGAAACAAAAAAGTGTTCCAACCATTTTCAATATTATGGGAAGTGGCACTGCCATGTAAGTTGTTCATTTTGAGTATAAGAAAAACCGTTAGAACAGAGTAACTGGAATTCAATCATTCAGGTTTTATAGAACTTTTCACAGCGCATCTTTTGAAAAAAATTCAAGATTTGATCTTCTATCTAAGCCAAGATATATGTGAAATAAAAAATGTTACAATATTATGGACACTCGGTATTGTAGTAAAAACAATGTCACTTTTTTTCTAACATATTTTTTACACTTTAAACTACATTTGATGCTCAACGTAAATATATAAAAAGATGTAGCGAGTTCCGGGATTTTTCGCTATATATAGTAGATCAATAAATAAACGAAGTATAATAATAAAAACAAAGCAATGGGAGAAATTCAATTGGCCCCGACAGTATAACAGACTTCTTTAGATTAATTACTTTATGGCTAAATGAGGGAGAGAGATAAATTTATACTCATTTTAAAGAGGGTGTTTTATTATATGTTTTTTCCACAAAAGGCAATTCTACGAGAATATTTATTATTATGAAAGTTTCTATTATAACAAAGAAACGAGTTCATAGTGCTAGGTCATTCTTTGCCGACCAAAAATGACCATTTTTGAGAACATTGTCCCAATAAGAAATGTCAGTAATAACCCAAATCAGACTTTGAATGTGCTTCGACGATTCCGTTTGTTTAATGTATCTCTGAATCTGGAAAAAGACTTTTTCTAAATGTCTCAGTCGTGTGCAAGCGTTTGGAGTCGAAAATTGAGTATTGAGCCATTTGCAACAGATTATGATATGCGAATGTATGACGGTGAATGACACTGTATTCACTCATGAGCGGTCGTTTGAAACCACTGTTCTAGAAAAGAATACGTGCTGCAAAACTGCGCCCTTCTTAAAGTTTGTAACACCACTTCAGATATGACAAAACAAGGCAACGAACCGATTGAAACAAAGTTGATCACTGTCTTCGATGACTTGTCATCGGAATTGATGTTATGCATTTTTGAATATCTGTCTGCGGTTGATCGATATAAATCCTTTTTCGGCTGTAATACCCGTCTGAGTCAGCTTGTTAAACGATGGACGCTATACAGCCGAAAACAACTTGATGCTGATATAGAACGATTTTCGACACTGCATAGCTGGTACAAGCATTTGGAGTTCATAGATGGTGGCACTAAATTTATTATATTTCCTCAAAAAGGTGAACAACCTCGTAACAGCATTCATCTGAGTATCACTGATACTGCCGGTCTACATTGGTTCTTTCTTCAAATTTACGACCAGTCAATAATTGCTGATGAACGTGTTCGTAAAATCCTTGTTCGCCACTCATTTCGACTTAACCCATTCTTCTATCATAAAGAAATGCATAGTAGCTCGAGTTTGAAGATCGATGGCAAGCAATCATCACGTACTTTCTACGGTGGCCACATAATTTCTATGGATCGGTATCGGGAAAGCTTTGAACCATGGATCAGAAGCAATTATCCTGAATATGCTGATCGGATATTAAACAATTCTTCTTGGTCACCTTGTAATATTTATGAAGCATGTGCACCTATCTTCGAATTAGAATGGTTGAAAGCAGTACGAGTTATCCGAGATGCGGCTCATCAAATCTGGGATGAACTGAAACAGCTCGAAGATATCAATCCATTTNTGTGGATCGGGATCCGTTAAACTTTTTACAATATTTTCTAAAATATGAATAAATTTAACAGAAAAAAAACAAGAGAAATAATATCAAAATAAACATACTAGCAGCTTTAGTAATATTTCGACGTGATTCAGATTCATTGTTCGTTGTTGAAGAAGTTGCATTACTTGCTGCCGCTGCTGCTGTTGTTGTTGTTGTTGATGTTTTACTATTAGTTGGTTTAGGTTCTTTTGAAGTAGCAGCTAAAAATTAAATTTATTTGAATAAAATGAATATTTTTGTTTATTAATATACCAAATGTTTCTAATTTTTTAACAAGTTTAGCACCAATTGCTGTTTGTCCTGATGTACGAGTTGTGGTTGTTGATGATTTTGTTTGGGATTCATCAGTATTTGTATCTTCACATGCAGTTGAAAGATTAATTGAATCAATTATTTGTGAAAGTTGTTCATCGGATGATATTTGATTTGTATCAAATGAAAGATTTTCATCATTCATAATACCATTTGTTGCTTCAGATTCAATATTTGTTGTTGAGGTAGTCATTCGAAATTATTTTTCAATGAAAAACTGAATAGATAAAAAAGAGAAACAACAAAGAAATCTGAAACGAAGCAAAAAGAGATGTAGCTATGAAATAATAGTTAATAGTTGTACAATAGATTTATTCCGTTCTTTCCTTCTTATTATGTTCGATGATTTAGGCATATGGAAGCTTCCTAATATAGAACGGAAGAAAAGTCATGGTTACATTTTTTCTTCTCTCTTTTTCTGTTCTTGCTTCTAGCCAGAATTTGTCCAATGTCCACTGATTTATAAAATTTCATTTGTTGTAACAGATTGTTTATTTTAAGGAAATAAAAGATGTCGCTCATGTGAAGACATATTGCGATACTAGTCATTATATTGAATTTTAATTTTTTTATGTGAGGCTATATTCATGCAAATAGTACTATGACAAGTAATAATTATCGCGTAATTAGGTGACCTCTATTGGCAAGTCATCAGCAAGTAAAATTCTGTTTCATTTTTAATTAAGAACTTTGTGTCAAACAAGTTTTCAGAAAAGATAGCACTATTAAAATATTATTTCATCTCTATTTAGTGTGATAAAATCTTTGCTATGTTAATTTCTTTAGTTTTTATAAGAGAGACAACGGAAAATGTACATAGTTGTTAGCAAAACTGGGTAAACGTAGAATTCTCTTCAGATTATACACGCATTGACTGTCAGAACGGTAAATGAGAATAAAGATGTGGATGTACGTAGTCTGAAGAAATGTTTAGCCGAATCAGTGTGATGTAGCTTGTTAAACTCACCGTGCAAATTTTTCTATTACAGAACATTTCATTACATCATATCCAACTATAAATGAAGCGGGTTGAGTATATAATGACTATTTGATGCTCATTTTTCAATATGATCTCAGAGAAACTCCTAGGGTCGCATAAATCAAGTTATTTTTGCTATTTTTTTTGTTTTCTGTTGATTTTTCTAAAGAATATTAACAACAAGTTTTCATTACACGATATCTAATTCCGATTTTTTTATCAGCAACAATAAATTAAGACAAGTAAAATCAATTCTTCTCTTTTATATAGTTCCACACCACAGTAAAAAAAGCATCATTTTTTATAAACAAAAACCTAAACTAGAACCTGTTTACAAGCAAAAATTATTTATTATCATTTAAATTAATACTTAATTGCATTTTAAAAATACTAAAATACAATCATTAGCTTTTACAAAGCTTGAGCGATGTGATCTCATTACAAAACTGCTTTGAGAAAATACACATTCAACTTGTGCTGATGTGGCAGGAATAGACATGATTTTTCTAGCAAGCTTGTGAAGAGATCTCTGATTTGCAAATACTTTGTCACATGTCGTACATGAAGACTGTGCTGATGACGAAGCCAACAATTTTTCGGAGTCGTATGCTGTTCTTAATTTTGTAATAGTTTTATGATTGAAACAAGGAAATCTTTTAAACATTCTAATAGAAAGAAAAACAGTTATGAATTATTATGTCCTTATATTTTGCTACGATTAATAAAAAGAAAAAAAATATTCAAATGACGCGCTTATTGTTATTTATTTTTCGTATCGAATGAAAGAAAAAGTTCATTGATGTTGTTTTAATATATTTCTTTAAATTTATCGATGTGCTTCCGCACATGTGAAGCGTTCGATGTTCACTGGTTTTAATTCTATTCTATTTGTCATATGTCTTTTTGTGCTCATACAAATTAATCAAGGATCTCATCGTCATCATCAATCTCAAATTTTTCGAAAATATCGGCATATTTCGCTACATGATGATAATCATCATAATTCATCATTGGAATCATCAACAAAAAAAGAATCAATTCTATTATTTCAAAATGAACCTGTACCATTGGCGTCATCAGTCGTTGATGATCTTACTACTCTTGCATCAGCTGTCTATATAATCTCTTTGATTGTTATTATTTTTGTTCTTCTTGCTTGGATAACTCATTACAATGCTCCATGTTCATCTGTTATTGCATCTATTTTAAGTACTATCACTGGTTTACCTGAACCAATTATTCATTCAGTTGCTCTTTGTGGTTCATGTTGTATGTGGTGTGAAAGAACATGGCTATTTCGTCGTATTCATCAATTTAATATGTGGATATCATGTAAGATCCAACAATTCATATCAGGTACATGTAAAGTTTTGTATGACACAATTTGTCCTTGTTGTCGACCACCTGATACACCATCAAATCGATCTATCATTGGTAAATTCGAGCATTGTCTTATATTGAAAGTATTTGAGCTTTATTCTACAAGGATCATTACCGGCTGGTATCATTGCAATGGTTCAAGTACCTGATACTCCTAAACCATCACCACCTAAAACTCGTGTGACAGGTAAAGATTAGGTTGATTTTTTTTTGTGTTCTAATTATTTTCTTCATTTATAGTTTTAGAACCTACTTCTGTATCATCAAGACCTTTGACCGTTAATGTTGATTTATATACTCAATCAAAAAATGAATCTTTGATCGAAAATCAAGATTATTTACCTTCCAAAGTTACAACTATCGAGACAAAAACAAGTGCTAATCAAACAGATGAAGATAAATCAACGAGTAAAAAGCGTCGTAAACAACCGCGAAAACAAGCTCAATTAAAACAACGAACAGTGATAGGTGAATCATTATATATTGATGAACAGATCGATGATACAAGTGAAGAAGAAGAAGAAGATTTTGATGAAGAAGAAAATACTAAAATTTATTGAAAACGTTCTTTAGCTTCTTTACGTTCTTGCCAAATAGTAGCACCGGAGCAAGTACAAAGACGTTTTGTATTTTCAAAAAGACCAGCTGATCGAGCTATAATACCACATGCAATACGTCTAAATGTGAAAATGAAATTATTTTTCTGTGTATATAATAATAATATATATGAGAGAAATTTACTGAGAATCAGAATTTTGTACAACAAATGATCGTCCAATAATATCTGGTACTCGAATACGACGATTGAGTAAACGAAAATCAGCAGTACCATGTTCATCAGTCATTACTTGACCAAGCATACCAGCTGATTCACCGAAACGTTTTTGTGATGACGAAAGACTTGAATCATAATAATCACCACAACTAAGTGCAACAATAATAATAATAATATATTCATTCTTTTATTTGTTATATATGATCGATACCTATCACATCCACCGGAAAGATCACCATACTCATGTATATCGATGCGAGCTGAACTATTAGGTAAAAGTCCATCAACAGTTCCTTCAATAATACATTGTTCGTCATCGACTTGAATAAATCGAATTAAACCATGAGTACGACGTTCAAATGGTTGATTCATATTACTATAAAGTGCTGAAACAGCAGCACCTAAAGGTTTTCCTATATATCAAACAGAGGTTAAAAAAAAAAAAGTAAATATTCTATTGAAAAATGATTCGAAAATTATTTTTCTACCAGCGCCTAATAGTACAGCATTAGTATCAAGTGATTGTTCAATTAATTTTTGAATTTTTGACGATTGTAATGTTGTATTAAGAACTAATCTTTTTGATGATAGATCAATATTGACATTTTCGATCTCTAGAATATATTTATTCAATGATTTAATCGAACATAATGAATACTTTGTTTACGTACCTTTTTGATCGGCTAATAACTTTTGTAATTGATCAGCTTGTTCGTGTCGATTTATATCAACAATAAACTCGAGCTAAATAATCAAAAGAAAAATCAATATATCGTTGCCTTTTAAAATGATTCACTTCAAATTCTTCACCTTCGTACTAATCGATGGTGCTGTCTCAGTCATTTCTATTCTACAATAACACAAGATATATCTATAATTTTTATTGTAAGTGATAAATTCTATATGGAATGCCGACAAATAGAACGACAATATTATATTAGTAGCGTAACCAGACGGAAGCTCTAGAGGGGGAGGGGGCTCAGCTCTTCTGTCCTACCAATAGTGCAGTTTCGTTTAAAAATACGGCTTTAGCTCCCTCTAGAAGCGTTACCAGATAGTTGTCACTACATCTCTACAAATATAGTCAGGAGTTTGAGCTCTGTCCTCTCTTCCACAACTTTTTTCTGGTTACGACACTAAATCATATAACAAATTCATGATACACAAGAAGAAATAAATATCATGAGCTATTACAGAGAGCAAACATGATAATGATTATAACAATATATACAAAAAGAAGGACAATGATATGAGTTAATATTGTTCATTTATTTATCTATTGGTGTTGTTGATATTGAAGGTTGTCTACGTGTTGTACGTTGTTTTTCAAAACGATTTTCCATTTCAATTAAAACTTGTGGTGAATATCGTACAACTAATTTCACAGTATTTTGTGCTTGTTTTAGTAATTCAACCGCTTTTTCATGATATTCATTTTCAACAGATACACCATTAACTGATAATAATTGATCGCCTTTTTTTAATCCACCATGTTTCCAAGCAACGCCATTTGGAATGATACGTGATATATAAATTGGTGAATTTTGCTCACGTCCGCCCATTACATTAAATCCAAGACCTTCTTGAGTTTTAGGTAATTCAATAACACGTGGATGTGAATGACCTTCACTAGCTGCAAAAGCAGCAACCTAAATTCAAAAATTTATTTCATTATTTGATTGAAGAAAAAGAAAAATATGTTTTCAAACACTAACAGTTGCTTTAGCAGTTGCATTAGCTCGAACTTCTGGTGAACCAGTTACTTGAACAGTTTCATAAATTTTTTCATAAACTTCCAAGACAGCATGAAAAAAATCGCTTTGTAATATACGTTGTAATTCAAGTAATTTTGTTTCAGGTATTTCACTTGTTGTACGAAGACGATCAAGAAGAACAATTGCTCGTTCAACATCTTTTTCTAGATTAAGTGATGATTCACCTGTTACAGAAGACATTATCTAAAATATCAATAAAAACAAAAAAAAAAAAACAAACACCAAAAGAATAAAGATAAAGATTATTAACCAAATAAAATGAGAAATATAATCGTTACAATATTAAAAGCAATCAACGGAACTACAAATAGAAACAAGAACAAAAAAAAAAATAGAATTAATTAGAAAAAAAAATTAATTTTACCTCTCATGACAGTTCGAACAGATCGAATTAGATTCAATAATTGATGTTTAGTTCCACCAACATTTTGATAATCATCAACATAGCCTCCTACACCAGGATAAACTTGACGATTTCCACTACCGCCACTTACTACAAAAATAATATATAAAAATTAATCTTAAGTAAATAATATATTTACATCTTGAAAGAAACCGTTGTTCATTAAGAATAGCAATAGCATTAACGCAAAGAAGAGCAGCTTCAATAAGACTATATAATGTAAATCCCATATTTAGTTGTTAACTTTTGTTTTTCTAATCTAAAAAGAGTTATGTAAATGATTTTGATCGAATGAAATTAAAAAAAAGAAATTTTATTAGAATGTGAACGAATAATATAAATACAATAATAAATTTGTGCCTTTTTTTTTCTCTGTAACTTATGTGAAACCTAATAGTAGAAATAGTATAAATAAAAAAAATCATTCAAGAAATATTAATAATAAAAAAAATGAAAATCAAACATTCTTTAACGTTTTACATTCGTGTGTCCATTAACAATTTTATTTTGTGTTGTAGAATTTGGATGTAAAGCTTTCTTAATTATTTGTTCATATTTATTTAAATCAAAATTTCCACTTTCACTTGCTGGAAAACTCCGATGTTTTAATTGTAATAAATGTATATAATCTTGTTCAGTATATTCAGGTCCATGTTCTTCAATAACAGCTATTATTTCATCTGGTTTTGTTGCATATAATAATTCATAATAACGATGTGCACGCATTAATTCAGCATCACCAACTGTTCGAATTTGTGTTAATGTTTGTTCAATAGCAAATATATTTCGACACATTTTCGTTACACCTGTTTCACTTATACGTACAAAACGTGGTGCTGAACGAATTAATATTGTTGCTAAAACAAATCCAAGACCTTGAAATAAAAATGAAAATTTTTTTTCATTTAATGATGAATGTAATGTTTCTTGTAAACGTGTTAAATCACGATTTAATGTCATTATATTTTCATCTGGATCTGTATCAATAACAGATGCATAATGAGATGCATTACGAAATAATAATGATAAATGATAAAAACAATGAAGACGTATTTCAAGAAATAAAACAAGTAATATATCATAAGATAATGTTAATGTTGTTTTCATTGCATTAGAAAATATTTCTAAATTAACACGAGATAATTTTAATTGTTCATATTGATGATGATTCTGTTTTAATGAACGTGATGTATAACCAGATGTAACTAAAATAAATATTAAAATATTTATCAACGAATTTTAAAATAAAAATTAGAGAGCGTTAAGAAAATTTTTTCTTTAATAAGAAAAATAATATTATCGAATAGAGATCATGTGTTTGAATTATAAGTTTTGATTGTTATTAGAACAATTCAGCGGATGTTTACACCATTCATAGATAGTCTAAAGGATGGTTCAAAAGTTTCGACTATTCTCTGTAAATTGACTTTATCTATGCGAGATACATATATAGAACGATGCATAGTTTTGTAGAGCGAGATTAAGAAAAGTTATCGTTCATGACTAAGCATTTGACATTGCTTTGGTAAAAATAAAAATATTCTTGAAAGATCTAAGTAATTAAAGTTGAGCAAAATTATAATTTCTAGGTATTTTTTACATGATTCGATAGAGTTCGATAAGCGCTACTAGAAAATGATTATCAAAAAAAAAAGAGTTCTGATTCTGTTTCCAATAGGAAATCAGACAGACTAATAAAAATCTCGCATACAATGTACGAGAGAGTATGCTTAACTTTTAACAACATTTGTTAATCGACTGATAATTGATGTTTTGTGATTTAATGTAACATAATGAAACTGAAAATAACCTTTCCGAGCCACATGAACAAATGAAACAGTAGATCAACCAAAATTATTAAAGTTCAGCTTATTCTCTTTAAAGTCGGATATATGAAATTTTTATCAGTCTGTTTGACTTTCTCCAAGGTTTGTATTGAAAATAAGATCAGAATCTTTTTGATATTCGTATTCTTGTAGAGTTTGGCGAATTCTATCGAACCGTAGAAAAGTTCCTAGGACATAATTTTTCACCTCAGACGTTACAGGCATATTTTTGTTTTACAAAAAAGATAAAAGCTGTAAAATGTTTAGACATAATTAATAAAGCAACTATAAATTTTCATGATGTTGATGCAATTTGAGCTATTTTCTTTTCAGTATCATAGCTTTGATCTTTTAAACTTTTGAGTCACTCTTTAGTTTGTATTAAACGATAATTTTAACTCAGCATTATTTTATAGTCA